GTGGTATCAGTGGTCTGGGATTTGGCCATTCTAAAAGGTGGACAGTGGTGTCTCGTTGTTCTCGTTTGCATTTCTGTGATGGTATATGGTGTAGAGATTCCTTCCAGATGTCTCTTGCCATCTGTGTATCGTCTCTGATGAGGTGTCTGTTAAGGTCTTTGGCCCATTTGTAAAAATCAGGTTCTTTGTTTTCTTATTGTTGAATTTTAAGAGTTCTTTGTGTATTTTGGCTAATAGTCCTTTATCAGATATGGCTTTTATCGATGTTTTCTCTCAGTTTGCAGCTTGCCTTCTCATTCTTTTAAGTCTTGGATGCTTTCAGGGCATCTTGGGTGAGCCTCCATTTTTGTATACCCCCTTACCAGCCATCAGGCAGCAGGTGGTCTCCCCTAACAGCATACCATCCTAGGGTACTTTGGCACTCAGTGGAAAGAGTTACCTTTTAGGGGCATGTGTCAACTGCAGAAGCCATGGCAACCAGGCTGACTAGGAGGCCCTAGAGCAACCATCTGATCATGCAGTTTGCCAACATGGTGACCTATTGATGTCACCATCCCGTGGCCTTGTCATCTCAGATTGGCTTACATAGTCATGTAAACCCTCTATTCTGAAGAAAACTTTAAAGAAGTATTCCTTTTAGCAAGGACAGTTCATGAATAACTTGTGTTATAAATTAAGAATATTACCAACTTATTCTAAGACTCGATCTACACAAGAGCTGCATTCAGCTCACAGCTGACTAGCCAGGTGAGAAACGAGACTGCTTCTCAGCGCTGAATTATACAGATGAATGTTCTAGCCAAAGGCAGTCATAGTGGTCGATAACTTCAGCAAAGAAAGCAAAAGTTGGATTTCCAGGGGAGAGTGCCCTCGCAGCCTTCGAGACATGCTGAGATCCTTTGACAAGATAGGGATGAAAAGATGACGTTACCACTCAGTCTCTTTCACAGATCTCTATGTCCTCAGGAGTGCCACGAGCACTAGTATTATTTTCTAGGAGTAGTAATGCCATCATTACATCCATGACTAATTCTTTGCTATTTCCAAAGCATTTTCAAATCTGTCATCTTGTTTGAACCTTATGCTATTCTGCTGGCTATATATGCACTGGTTTGTTCATTTATGTAACAGCTATGTATTATGTGCCTTCTCTGTGCAACTGTATCCTGCCAAACTAGCTCAGCTTGATAGATTGATAATTGATGCTCATATTGTAATGAGCAGATTGAGGTCTGGAGAGTGGCTAAGCGGTTTGTCCCCAAATCTCACCACTGGTGAGGGCCATGCCAGGACAAGACCAGAGAGATTTTGAACCCCTGCTCGATTCCCCATCCTACCTGAATTTTTATCCTCCTGTACTCAGGCAGCCAACAGTGCCTCCTTCCCTGTAGTCACCACTTAAGCCTGAGAGACTGAAATGCCACAATGATGCTGATGTTACTATATGACAATCAGGTGAGTGTAGATTTTGGCAAGCCATGGAAACAAAACACTATCAGTCAGTAAAGGAGGAAAGACCAACTAACCAACTTAGAATGTGCACATTCAAGGTTAGCATTTGCAGTGCAGGGAGCCTTGCCTGCAGAGAGCACCCAGGAAACCCTGCGTTTGGAGAGTGTTTCTATTGCTCTTATTACTATGTGGATGCTCTCTTAATCTCACTCCACTTAACCCACACTTCTCTCTATGATGGAAGCCAACCAAAACTTACGGCACACTGGTTGCGTACAATACAGAGATCATTCTAGAATATGCAGGCCTTCTGTTCCTACCACTGTATGGCTGTGCAAAGTGCTTCCAATCCTGTGTGAGCTGATCTTTTGAATATGAAACTTTATGTTGGCAAAAAAAAGGAAAAAATATTTTAATAAGCATGAATTCTTTCTTTGAAAGTCACCATGTGCTTTGTGACAGTTCAAAGAATGAATTGCTAAAAAAATTTTTTTTGTTGTTATAAAGTTGAGGTGGATGAGACAACTATGAGAGAGATTGGGGGAATGAAACTCTAAAAGGATTCTGCACATAGAAGACTGCCTGTCAAGTAATTCTTAGTTCTCATGCCAGTTTAAAGAAACCTAAACTAGGGGCTGGCGCTGTAGCTCAGCGGATTAACACCCTGGCCTGAAGTGCTGGCATCCCATATGGGCGCCGGTTCGAGACTTGGCTGCTCCACTTCTGATCCAGCTTTCTGCTATGACCTGGGAAAGCAGAAGATGGCCCAATACCTTGGGCCCCTGCATCCGCCGCATGGGAGACCCGGAGGAAGCTCCTGGCTCCTGGCTCCTGGCTCCTGGCTTCGGATTGGTGAAGCTCCGGCTGTTGCGGCCAACTGGGGAGTGAACCATCGGATGGAAGACCTCTCTCTCTCTCTCTCTCTGCCTCTCTTCTCTCTGTGTAATGCTGACTTTCAAATAAAATAAATAAATTAAAAAAGAAAGAAACAAAAACTAGAAACTGTAAGTAAAACATTAAAGCTATAATTGATACAGTCAGGAGACCCATTCTCAAGGGACAGGTGACAGTTCTTCCAGGAAGTTGGTGCTGAGAGTTTCCCAGGAAGTGGTGGGTGACTTGAACACCAAGAAAACATACCTGTACTTTAAGAGTATCAGTGGCTGATTTCTATAACTCAGTGTTGTCCTGAACATTTAGTTCATTAGTAGAGAAAATTTGACAGGCAAGCACTCCTGCAGTACTGAAATATGTCTGACTTATGAGTTGTTACCTCCAAAAACCGTGATGCTAAATGACAGCATTGATGGGAAAAAAAACCCAGAGCTGTGCCCCTGAGAGTTGCCTGTACTCCTCAGGATTAACACATAATTTGCATAACGAGTAAAAAATGAAATTATGAAGTCCTAGAAGTACAAAAACTCTAGAAATTCCAAGATGATGCTGACAGAACATTTAGCCAAGCATGGCCCTTCTGAGCCCTAGGTTGTGGGCAGCTGCACAGGATACACACCCATGAAGACCACCCTGCTGCCACTGACGAATTGCCACTTAATGTCACTGATAAATCAGTAGAACTTTAAAAAGAAGTCTAGTCAGTACTAGTTTTTTTTTTTTTTTTTAAGCTATATTTATTTGAGAGGCAGAGTTACAGACCATGAGGGTGAGAGACAGAGACAAAGGTCTTCCTTCTGTTGGTTCACTCCCCAAATGGCCGCAACGGCTGGAGCTGCGCCGATTCCAAGTGCTTCTTCCCGGTTTCCCATGGGGGTGCAGGAGCCCAAGGACCTGGGCCATCTTCTACTGCTTTCCTAGGCCTCAGCAGAGAGCTGGATCGGAAGTGGAGCAGCCAGCCGGGACTTGAACCAGCACCTGTATGTGATGCCGGCGCTGCAGGTGGTGACTTTACTCCCTGTGCCACAGTGCTACCCCCCACATTTCCATATATTTAGTGTGGAATGAGAAGTTACAGATATTTACAAAACAAATCTAAGAGTAAAACCCTTCTGCACTTTTAATATTATTCTTTTCTTCCTTTTCTTTTTTTAATATTTCCCATGTTCACAGAACCACACCAGGTCAGCAGGTGGTGGTGGGTTTTTTTCCTTTTTGTATGTTTTTTTTTTAAGAAACTCACTTTTTGAGTCCTTGCTAAGCATTCACTTTAATTTTCATAGGAACATTTCCCCTTTTTTTTCATACTTACATTTCATGGCTTACATAGTAAATACTTCACTGAGTTTCCTAATGAGTTTATCAGGTAAAAACAGATGTGAAAAGTAACTTGATACCTGGGGGGAGCAGAAAGTTATAAATGTGCTAGAGAGTGGAGTGGGTTAGCAGCTTAGAATATGCTGTATATTATAAGCACTTACTGGTCTATTACAGAGGGAACAGAGAACTTACAGCTGGCTGATAAATGGAAATGCCAGCTGGCCTTCCTCATGTTGGTTGGGGATTATTAGGTAAATAAATCCTTTCCACTACCCTTCTTGTTGCATCCCCCATACAACTGACTATGGGAGAAATAGCATGAGTCACAGACATCCCCATGTGACTTCTGATTTGTAGTTCACATTTAAAGTCCATGTTTCCATGGCGTCTCACTGTGCCTCAGTCTCTGTGTCTCTGGAGGTACCCAGTGGGTAGGGGAAGTCTCTGCATTGTGCCCGTTGTTTTAGTTAGCATGTCCAAAACTTGCCTTACAATTTGGGGAAAACTTCTTCATGTGCAGTATGAAACTTCACTTTGTGTAAATTATTATTAAATTGGATCACAATGCGAAGAAAGATGAGGGTGGTGAAGAATGAGCTGCCATTTTGAGGTCCATGTCCCCAGCCAAAGATGGTTTGTGAGGCTGAGTGGCAGGGAGTGGCTGAATCTGCTTGGTTTGTGGCCTTTACTTTTGCCAGGGAACTTTCTGGAGCATCAGTCTATAAATGGGAAGAATAATAAGAGGTAACAGATTGGCCAACATTTGTTGAACTTCCCATCTGGTTTTCAAATGGTCTATTAATTAAAGACCAACTGCTTCCAGTCACCCACAAAGGAAGACGACAGAGTCCCCTAGGGACAAAGCACCACCTTCAGGGTGCAGAAGGAACTTTTTTTAAAAATAGGATTTATTTCTTCCATTTTAGTTTTCTGAAATTTTCTTCTTTTATATCCAGGGGTTTTAAAAAATTTTTTTTTTAAGTACTAAGGAACTGTATGAACCTCTGTTAAAAACTGAGCCTACGCAGGCCCCAGGCCTCTCATGGCCGAGCTGCTGGGGACCCCCTGGGAGGCAGAGGCCTCTGAGGGGAGGGTCCCGGCGGGGAGGAGGGAGGCTGAGCTCCGTGCGCTGGGGGACCACGGCTGGGCCGTGAGCTGTGCGCGCTGCGTGCTCGCCTCGGAGCCTCGGCTGAAATTCCACAGCCCAGACCTCGAGGATGGCCAGGGCTGGCTCGCGTGGGGTCGTTCTCCCTCCCCGGCCTCAGCGGGAAACCCGGGTCCGCGGCGGGAAACGCTGACTCAACCTCTCCGTGTTCTCTCCCTCTCCCGTGCAGGAAATGTGACTGGAAACAGTAACTCCACGTTCATTTCCAGCGGGCAAGTGATGAACTTCAAGGGCGACATCATCGTGGTCTACGTCAGTCAGACCTCGCAGGAGGGCGCGGCGGGGCCGGGGGGCGCGGCCGCGGAGCCCGTGGGCCGCCCGGTGCAGGAGGAGACCCTGAGCCGCCGCGACTCCTTCGCGGGCAACGGCCCGCGCTTCCCGGACGCGTGCGCCGGCCCGGAGGCGTGGCCCGGAGCGGGCATGCAGGAGCAGGGCGCGCCCGGGCCGGAGAAGGCCTCGCGGCCCGTGCAGGAGCAGGGCGGGGCCGAGGCCTGAGCCGGACCTCGGGCGTCCCTTTGTCCTCGGAGGCAGCCGCAGGCGCCACCGCGCGGGCGCGGGGGAGTGGGCGGCCGGACCCCGCCCCGGGTCCACGCTTCCCGCCCTCTGCCTTCCGCGGCCAGGAGCACGGGTGGCTGCACGCGCGCCGAGCTCGCTTGACCGAACGCGCGGGCCGCAGGGAGCCCCCGCCGCCGGCGCCCGGGGCAGGAGGGCCGCTGGCCCCGTGCATCCTCCCCTCCCGACACCGCCGAGCACCTGGACCTTCTCGGAAGATCACCCGACGTCGCCTGCCCTCCTGCTGTTCCCAAAAGTAAATGTGTTGCTACGGCTCACCGGTGCCCCCGGCGCAGGTACAGGCAGCTGCCGTCGGCCCCCGCCGTTTCCTTTCCTCCCGTCCACGGTCTTTGTCCTCTCCCCCTCGCCCGCGCCGTTCTCACCGCCTCGCAGTCTGGCCCTCTCGGCATCTGTTTTTACCGCGTCTTCTGTTGGGGTCTGCGGCCCCGCCCTCCCCTATTTATGTAACAACATACTAATTGATGCTTTCCCCCACTTTTTAAAAGTTGTTTCATGGTGTTTTTCCCCTCAACAATTCTTGCAGGAGGGACAGCCTCCTCGTATATTTCCCTTCGCACTCCTGCTCACGGCGTTCTGGTGGTGGCCTTCCCAGGTGTGTGTCCAGGCACCTTCAGGACAAGGTTAGGTATGGGAAGCCCGGGGCAAGGTGCAGGGAACAAGTGGAGGGACTTTGATTTTCTGAAAAATAGTCCGCGTCTCCATGTTCTCGGAAGGAAAGCAAAAGGAGAACTTGGCCTTTTCCTCCTGTTGTTAAGTTGGGTTGATTGTTGAGCAGCCCCGAGTTCGGTGTGTGACCTTGTCCCTCCACGTGGTTTGTTTGTCCTCGCTGCCAGAGGGAGTCAGGTACTTGGTAAGAAAGTCTCTGAAAGCCCAGGTTCTGCAGCGTGGCATTCTTAGTCTTGATGTCTTTCTGGAAAAGGCATGAAAAGCAAGTCGAACACGGGGCTCGCCTGCACACAAAGTGAAAAAGACGGTGCCCGGGAAACTCAAGAAAGAAGAAAATCAAAATATAACGTTGCATTTGCTCTTTCTGGATAAGAATGACATAAATGGGTTCAAGAGTTCTCTTATTCTTAAATAATTATGCACCTGTAATTCAGCCTTGTAGAGGCGGAAAACATTCCTACTATTTTCCAGTGCCTTTAAATTAAAAATCAAGTCCTCATGTTGTGAATGTAAGAACATGTATTACCCTAAATGTGCTTTTTTTCTTGGTGTGTGTTCTCTTTTGAGGAAACTTAAAGAGTATAAAGCAGACAAAGTCAACTGGGTAGTTTTAGCTATAATGGCCAATGACTGTTGGTTCTCAAATACTGGAGAAAAGTTGAAATTCCTGAGCATATTCAAAGTAATTTTGCATATCTGCTAGGTTATGAGAATGTTAATAGTGGTCATTGTCCACAAGTGTCCCGCCGAAAAGAACCACCACCGACCACTGATCTCCCCCTCTTAGTTGCAGTTCTGGAAATGCTGGGTTGGTAGCAGTTGATGATGGTTTTTAATGGAGAAGCAGAGAATGGCTGTGTAATTGATGGGACTCCTTAGCTGACATGAAAAACTGCAGGAAAGAACTGCGTTGCCAGGATGATCAGCAGGTAGAAATTTACTGTCTGATCTGCCCTTTTAGTTAACGTCCATCCACAGAGATGTTCTGAGACCATCACACCTTTTGATATGGAATCTGTTAAACACAGCTGCTGTTCACAAAGCAGAATGCTGAGCGGAAAACCCACGTTTCCACTAGGACTGTCATCGTCTCACTAAGAATACTTCACTTTTCTGTGCTTTCATTGTTGTTTCTATAAGGATGCAGTCATGATAATTTATAATGGTTCCCCTACCCAGAGATATCAAAGGGATGTGACAATGAATGTTAAAATAACTTGAGCTCCTTAAATCAAAGGTGCCGTAGAAATACATAAGGGTCTATTTTCAGGAAAAGGTAATATTCTTTCCCGCACTGATCCCTACTAACTCTGTATTGATCCAAAGGCAATTAAACGATAGGAAATGTATAGCATTGTAGGTCTGTGTCTGTGTTATGGAGAATATGTGACAAATGTAAACAGAATGATGTGAAAGCAATAATGAAAAATTATTTGGGAAACATGATAAAGAGATTATTAAACTTATATTTGACCATAAAAGAATTTTTTCATGGCTGTTTTGGAAAGCCCCACTGTATGAGAACTGAACACCAAAGGTGGGAGGTACGGAGACCTAAGAAAAAGGCTGACAACCCAGGATTTCACAAAATATAATGTATTATGGGTATTTGTGGACAGAAGCATTCATCTTGGGGACCACAAAACAGAAAAAGAGGAGAGGAAAGAGAATCTCACACCATAAGGCAAGAGAGAAGGGGTTTTATAGACAAAGGTGGTGCATGGCTAATTGGAATGCTTCTGGACTTTCACATTCCAAGCATAAGAGAAGAGACATTCCAGGCATCATATAAAAGTAGCAGATTCTTAATGGCCTTGCTTGCCCCACAGGGTTTGGAATAGCCTGCACAGTCACCCAGAAGGCAAAATTACAATGGTGTTGTCTGAGATGGCTGCAGTATGTCCAGCTGGATCCCTGCTATGGTTTGCTAAAACAGGGCTCATTGTAGAATCATAACTCAACTTATTCTTGACCTTGTTTTGTTTTTTTGCTGTCTTATTTGTGGTTCCCATGACAACCCACAGAAAATGTGGGGAGCAACTCGGACTAGACTAAGTTACTGGAATTAAGACTTATTCTATGCATCTGCTCTCCCACAATATGGCGCTGGGAGAGGAGAAAACAGCTTCTACACAGCTGCCTCCAGTTCAACCAATAAACAGCAGGACCTGCTCCTGATTGGAGGAGAGCAGCGTACTCGGCATGTGGGTAGCAGAGTTGGGATTGGTGGAAGAGGACTATAAAGGAGGAGAGAGACAACATGCACCAGGAACATCTAAGGGGAACACCTGAGGAACATCTGAGCAGCCCCCGAGAGAGCCGGTCGGCGGTGTGCCGCTCCCCTGCGGAAGTGGGGAAAGTGGCAGGGGGCACCGCCCTTCCACGGAGGTGGAAGGATCGGTAGCCAACCTGGGAAGAACCAGCAGCAAACCAGGGAAGGGCCGAGCAGACGAAAGAACAGCGCAGGGTCCTGTGTCGTTCCTCCACGAAGAGGGGGAGCGACAGAAAACACTTGGCTTAATGTTATATTGGCTGTTGATCTCTAAAGAAAATTTTATAAAATGAAGCTTGGATGTCTAGTGAAACAGCAGAAAGGGATATGGAGTATAGTGTTTTCTCTCCACACTTAACTCTACTGCTAGAAGAAGGAAGAATTCATTTCTCTGTTTACCTGCAAATGCAAAAAGCCATTTGAGTATGATGTGTGGGAACTTTTGTGTGGCGGGAGTTGGGGTGGGGCGAGGATCTTGCAGTGTAACACACCATTCCAATATCCAGTGGCTTAAAGCACCATTTCTTTAGCTCACGATGCTATGGGATGGATCACCTTGGGTGGTTCTTGAGGCCTGGCCCAGCTCGACCAGACTTGCTCCCCATATGCAGTGAGCAAACTGGTTGCCTGGGGGGTGGCTGGCTGGCCTGAGCTTTCTCCACATGGTCTGCATCCTTCCAGCTAGCTAGCAGGGCTTGTCCTCATGGTGATGTCAGGGTCCTGGGAAGAATTGCATAGTGACATGGAGTGGCATGGAAAAGGCAAGAACGGGGGACCTTTTGCCATCTGTCTACCACAGGGATGTTGTTTGCAATAACATGGTACAGAGAAGAGTGCATCTAGGGAAAGACAAAAGAGGAACATTCCCAATCCTTAGTAAGTGAATGGTTGCTGCTTCGCTGATTGAGTCTCTCTGATGCCCAGTGTTGTGAATTCCTACAATAAGACAGCCACCCATACTTTTACCTAAGTATCAAAATTCCTTCCAAAGTCACATTAAGTGTTTTGGAGATTGAGTCTACTATATTCACTTGACTAGGACAGAAAATTGAAAAGTAACTATTTGTAAAATCAAGAAAACTGAGATAACTTTGAGTGGAGGAACTTAACTACATAAATGGCTAAAAGGTGGTCATCCTTTACCCTGATCCCACAACAGCTTTTTATGTACTGGGCTAAAGGGAAGCTTGAGCAAAGGCATTGCCTTTGGTGAAAGAAGCACAGTTTTGACAGTTTGCTCCTGGCAGTCTCCGATGGTGTAGACTTCCCCTTGTCTGGCTGCCTTGGAGCTCCATGGGATGCTCTGGGAACAAGCTGTATAACCAGCTCTAGGGAGAGGGAACAAAGAACGTGCGGATGAGGCATTGTTTTTGTTTAGTGTGCTTTTTAAAGCTTGGGCCTGCAGCATCCTGAGAAGGGAGATAAAGACCAGGAGAGCCTGGAGCAATGGAAGGTGACCTCGGACCATCATGGGCTCCAGGCGCCAGAGGAGGCTGCCAGGGAGGGACTGTCTTTGGTTTTCCTGACTCGAGGGCTGTGCCTATGAACAGACCACCTTGCAATTCCTAAAGCTGTGCCAGAAAAGAGATGGGATCTGAAATTGGGTAGTAATGAGGCCAGGAGGTCAGGTGGGAGTATTGAAACCTAGTGCAGAGAGACAGGGGGAGCCACAGTCCACTGAAAACCTGGCCTGACACCCTCATGGCAGCCCCACTGAGGCATGGCCCCCCTGGGCTGAACAACCTCGTGTCTCCCAAGATTTGAACAAGGATGGCAGGGACACCTCTGGGACCTCTGTGTGCCATGGCTCCTTCCACCATGGTTTCTCATGTCTCTTGGGAGTCTGATTGTTCTCTCTCTGCCTCTACACTGACTGCACAGTTACCCTAACCCCATGAGGAGATTGAGGCTGATGCTTGGCAGACATCTCTTTTCTTGATTCCCCTTGGTAAACTGGCGTACAAGAACACTTAAAAAAAAAAAAAAAAGAACTTGATAACCAACAGCATAAAAGCTCAGATTGTAAACCACAGGTCTCTCACAGTGACTTCATTCTAGCTGGGGAGCTGGTAAGTTACCCTCTTCGCCTGTGTGATGGGACAAGCAGAAATTTTGCAGTCAGTCCTGGCTCACAACTCATCCCTTGCCACTTACGGACTTTGCTTGTACAGCTGCCACACTTCTTAGCCTAATTTTCTGCAGGTGTGAATTCAGGCAACAATATTAGTTAATAGGGATGATGGTGTGAGATTCACATGGGATGAGGTATAACCAAGCCCCAGCAGAGTTCCTGGAAGATTCCAGTAGTAGAAACCCAACTGTTCTACACCCTGTCTGCCTCTGGTACTGTCCCTGCCTGGAGACACAGCCACCTTGACGTCATGTTTCTTCCTGAGTCAGACCACCTCAAGCTTTGCCACCCACCATGGATACCTTCCTGCCCAGAACAAGGTCCCAGGGACACACCTTATCCAGTCAGTTGACAAGACTGTGGTGACTGACCCCGAGGTAGCTATCTTCTGCTGACAAGGCACACTGAGGGATGTGACTTGCACCCTTTAACGTCGCATTACACCATCTTGAAAGACAACCATTGGAATGGGCACTCGTGGGGCAGGTCTTTCTCCTGGGCCTCTGACATCTGTGAGTACAGAATACTGATTCGTGGGTTGAAGGCTGTGTTTCAGGTTTCTTTCCTCTTGGTGTTCCTATGCCTCTCCCAGTTTGGGAAGAATAATACAAAGTGACTGCAGAAAGCAGAATTTTTTTATTTGGATGTAACTATGATATGCTGTTTTTCATAATACATATTATATATGAAATTTAAGAAAATTATTTAAGAAGTAGAAAGAGATTGTGTGTGACAATGCTCCTACCCACTGATTCATTCTCCAAATGCCTACAGTGGCCAGGGCTGGGCCAGGTTGGAACTGGGAGCGGAAACTCAGTCCACGTCTCCCAAGTGGGTGGGAACCAGTACCTGCTGCTTTCCAGGGTGCACGTTAGCGGCAGCTGGAATCAGGAGTCAGGACTCAGCCCCAAGCCCTCTGATACGGCATGTGAGCTTCTCAAACCACATCTTCAATGATAAGCCAAGGGCTTGCTTCTCTAGGAACTTTTTAAGGATCACCCGTTCGTTGCCCACTTGTTCAGAAGAGGCGGCATATAGGCCCAAGTCCCTTCAGGAGGAGACTGGAGTCCAGTAAAGCCTCAGTGTCATTCAGGCTCTTCATTCCTCATGGGCAGCTATAGCCCAGGCAACAGAGGCCACAGGTTCAATTCTCTGGCAAGGTCTGTACCCTTCAGAGAAGAATGCTGTGTCATCACATGGTGGGAGACAGAAGAGAAAACTAAATGCTGCGTGAAGCGTCTTTTATTAGGGCACCTAATCCCCCGTCTTCATACTGTCACATTGCCCATGAAGCTCCAGCACCTGAAGTCTGGAGGGGACAGTTCTAACCACAGCAGCCACTTCACTGACATGATGATGATGCAAATGCACAGCTTGTCTAAAATGCAGGACAAGAGCCTTGCACATAGTGGGTATCCCAGAAATGGCAGTATACCTACTACTGGCCCAGTATTAGCTAGTCCCCTACAAGAGCTGAAGGTGGCAAGGTCTCTGAAGGCACACAGAGTCACCATGGGACTATTTAAAAAACAGTCTTTGTTGGTGACTGCAGACCATATTACAAAGTTTCTGCATGTTAGGGTTCCTCAAACATGAATAATGTACAGAATCCCTTTGAAAAGGGAAAAAGTTCATGAATTCCAGAGTGGATGTGATTGGTCACTGTTCACCACCCGAATGAGAGTGAATGCCTGGTTCTTGTGACTGTGAGCGAGGTCACGGGGCCCTGCCGGGGACAGTCCCACCTTTCTTGTCCTGCCTCTGCGCAGCTCATGTCTCTTGAGCCTGCAATAACAGTGCAGCCCCAACACTGGTGCTGAAGTTGTAGTGCAGGATTTGGTTAGAAGAGTAACCAAAAATTCTAGAACTGGCAAATTAAAAATTAAACATACTGGTTCAGGAGAAAGAATATTCATATTGTTGTGCACCCAATCTCCAGATCTTTTCATCTTGCAAAATTGAAATTCTATACCCATTAACAAATAACTCCCCATTCCCTCCTCTGCAGCCCCTGGTACCCCTGATTTCACTTTCTGTCTCTATGACTTTGATGCTTCAACTACTTCCTGCAAGTGCAATCATACGGTATTTGTCTTTTGTAAAAAAAAAAAAATTTATTTGAAGGGCAGAAAGAGATGATCAGCCACTAGTTCATTCTCTAAATGCCTCTAACAGAGATGAGCCAGGCCAAAGCCACGATCCTGGAACTCAATCTGGGTCTCCCACGTGAGTGGCATGGATCCAAGTTGTAGGCTATCAGCTGCTGCTTCCCAGGGCACATTATAAGGATGCTGGAACTGGAAGCAGAGCTGGGATTCAAACCCAGGCACTTTGAAAGGGGTGTGGGCATCCCTAGTGCCAGGTTAGCCACTGTGCCAAACACCCACCCCCAGTATTTTTCCTTTTGCGACTTACTTCAGTTAGAATACTGTCAAGTTTCGTCTATGTTGTTGTAGCATGTATCAGAATAGAAGTGGTTAATTCGGCCGGTGCCATGGCTCACTAGGCTAATCCTCCACCTGCAGCACCAGCACTCCGGGTTCTAGTCCCTGTTGGGGCGCTGGATTCTGTCCCGGTTGCTCCTCTTCCAGTCCAGCTCTCTGCTGTGGCACGGGAGGGCGAGGAGGATGGCCCAAGTACTTGGGTCCCTGCACCCACATGGGAGACCAGGAGGAAGCACCTGGCTCCTGGCTTCGGATGGGCACAGCGTGCCGGCTGTAGCAACCATTTGGGGGATAAACCAATGGAAGGAAGACCTTTCTGTCTGTCTGTCTTCTCACTGTCTATAACTCTGTCTCTCTCACTGTAACTCTGCCTGACCAAAAAATAAAATAAATATAAATAAATTTTTAAAAAAGAAGTGGCTAATTTTTATTGTTGCTGTCACCAAAACAAAACATCCAAGGTAAAATGTCCTTACTCAGAACTTACAGACCCTTGAAAATAAGTTGGCAAAATGTGGATTCAGGATGACAGCACCTGAGCAAAAGGAACACAGACCCTTCTAGGAAGAGCTGGAGTTTGGCTGCAAAGGAGGTGAAAAAGGAAACGTTGGGGGAGAAATAAGAGTTCTTAATAAGAAGAAACAGTTCCAGCTGTGGTCTTAGTGCAGGAGGTGAGCGCGTGTCTCCACATAACCCTGGCTGGGCTGAATCCTTCCTGGGGAGAGGCTAAGTAAAAGGTATAAAATCCATATGGATTCCACATGGGTCTTACCGTGAACGCTGGCTTTAAATATAATTACAGGCACAAGAAAATGTGCTCAGCATCACTAGTCATTAGGGAGATGCCAACCAAAACCACGAGACCCCCCTCACACCTGTGAGAGCGGCTCTTCTCCAGCAGGGGCAGGGGATAGCAGGTGTTGGAGCAGATGTGGGGGAATTGGAAATCTCATGTATTGTAGTGGAGACAGTAGTTTGGCAGTTTCTCAGAAAGGTAAAAAATAGATTTACCATATGACCCAGCAGTTCTAGACCTAGGTGTATACCCAGAAGGAGAGACCTGAACAGATACTTGTACACCAATGTTCATATCAGAACTGGTCACAATATTCAAAAAGTGGAAATAACCCAAGCGTCTGACAACAAAAGAATGGATAAACAAAATATGTCATGCCCATACAATGGGATACTATTCAGCAGTGAAAATGAATGGAATTCTGACACTTACTGCAAGATAGTTGAACCTTTAAGATGTTTTGCTCAGCAAAATATGATAGACCCAAAAGAACGGATGGCTTCCTCTCATAAGAGAAACCTAGACTCAGCAAATTCATAGAGACAAGTAGAACAGTGCTTGGCTGTGATGGAATGAGAAAGTGAGAAGGTCATGCCAAGATGGCCGCTGACAACAGAAACCGTGGCAATGGCCGTGATTGGATGATTTCAGAAACCACACGACAACAGAACCTGACTGAAAACAGATTGTGATTGGATGGCTTCGGAAACCACATGACAACAGAGCCTGACTGACAACAGGCTGTGATTGGATGGTTTCAGAAACTGCCTGGCAACAGGCTGTGATTGGTTAGGGCATAGACCGCCCCTTGACTGGATTGGCTGCCTTGGCTATATAAGCAGCTGTAGCCACTGAAATAAACGAGTCTGCAGGCTGCTTGCCTCAGGTCTGCTTTCCTCTGGACTCCCGGAATCTGTGTGGTAACTCCACACCTCTTGCCCTCACCACGCTCTTCGTCTCAGAAGCGAATCCACAGCAACACTTGGCAGAGGCTGAAAATAGAGAAATCAGGAGATTGTTGCTTAATGGACATAGTTTCTATTTGGGATGTTAAAAAATTCTGGAAATGTATAGTAGTAATGTTTGTACAACACAGTGAATGTACTGAATGGCACCAAATTGTACACTTAAAAATGGCTAAAATGGTAAACTTGTATATTTTACCTCAATAAAAATTTTTAAAAACTAAATACAAGGGCCAGCATTGTGGCACAGCGGGTTAACGCCCTGGCCTGAAGCACGGGCATCCCATATGGGCACTGGTTCAAGACCCAGCTGCTCCACTTTCGATCCAGCTCTCTGCTGTGGCCTGGGAAAGCAGTAGAAGATGGTCCAGGTCCTTGGGCCCCCGCACCCGCCTGGGAGACCTGGAAGAAGCTCCTGGCTCCTGGCTTTGGATTGGTACAGCTCCGGCCGTTGCGGCCATCTGGGGAGTGAACCATCGGATGGAAGACCTCTTTCTCTCTGCCTCTCCTCTCTCTGTGTAACTCTGACTTTCGAATAAATAAATCTCTTAAAAAAAAAAAAAAAAAACTAAATACAACCAAGGCCAGCATTGTGTAATAGTGGGTTAAGCCACCACCTGCGACACTAGTATCCCATATTCTCCACTCTGACCCAGCTCTCTGCTAATGCACTTGGGAA